GGGATTTCGGGGTTCTTGATGCGGTGGGTGGGTGGTTTTTATATGGTATGTATAGTATTTTGGGGTAGGCATCTAATGTTACTACAACTACTGTATCTCACTATCTATGAGCATGAGTACCTCCCAATCTCAGTATCTTTTGGGGATCCGAGGAACGAGGAATAAATCACCATCGAGGCGAGAGGATTATACTGTACTACCGTATTAATTGGATTACAAGATACCATTATTTAAATAAAAAATCCGTCTTAAGGCCTATTTGAACTATATCTTATACAAAAACTAATATCTTATATAGTAATTTTGCCCCACCTTTTAGTGTGGTTTACTAACCTCCTCTCCCAACCTCTATGTTTTACCCCTAACCTCATCTAATCTCTCTATTCTTTAAACCTATTCTATTCCCACGATTTAAGTACATTCTCAAAGTAAGAATGGGACGTGGAACAGGTCCTGGAATCATTCTACGAAGAGGTAATAGGGGGCTAAATATACGGAGTATCTAGGAATAGCTTTGTTTTTGCAAAATTTATATACGGTTCTTATACAGCTTAACTGTAAAACACCCTCTTAGCCATCTAGTACTATAACCGTGAGTGTTTTAGCCAATGTGGTAGTATTAAATAAAGTATCTGAAAAATAATATAAAATCATAGATTTGAGATTCTAGCCTTCTAATTAGTTAGAGTTATAAGATATTAGTTCTTCGGACCATATAGAACCATATCTACTAACGTAGTAGTATCTTACTCGTAAATGATATCTTATAATCCAATGAATACGGTAGATTGAGTACCTCCTACCTATTCAATTCTTGTGTCAATACTCGAGTATCAGGTACCTACAATGCCTCAAGCTCAAGGCAACAAACCATTGTACCTAAGGCGAATATCGTAAACAAATAAAAGAGAAAGCTGTCAGGTTCCAAGTGCCAGGACAGAGTAGATAAGCCAGCCAAGCACATCATCGTACATCCCTGTCGGTGTCCAATCACAAACCACCTGCACCACCCGCGGCGACACATTATTTTTCTGGAGCTTCTCCATACCTAGCTCAAGGTAGTTAGGGCAAAGCTGCAAAGTCTATCGCTGGACATCACGGTGTTCTTTCTTCACAGATTCCGACTTCTTCTGTTCGCCAGTCAGGTTGATTCTGTTTGCAATTGGTGCTTGCAAAGGCCGACCTGTCTGTTTGGACCTTAATTGCGCTGATAAGGAACGTACCGCGCGGGGTACATACACCACCCACATCACGCATATCAAGACAAACAAGCTCAACTTGAGCTAGAGGATCTTTCAAATCGCCAATTGAGCCTCCCACGGTTCACACGAGACGTCAAGAGATTGAGATAGCTGGTTAACAGAGCAGAAGGAGAAGAAAAAGATAGTAGATATGGCGGATGTTGTGAGGGATGTCGAGGTTGAGAGTGGGATGATGAGGACGGTGAAGGATTTGTTTTCTGGTGCTGCGGGGGGGATTGCTCAGGTTCTTATTGGTGAGTTTGTTTGCTCTCTTTTTTTTATATGATGTTTTTTTGAGGGGGAGAGAGGGGGGGAGGTTGAGGGGTTGATGGGGATGATGAGGATGATGGGGATGATGAGGATGATGGGGATGATGAGGATGATGGGGATGATGAGCATGGATGGATGGAGGTGTGGTTGAGTTTTATATCTGGGATTGAGGATTGTGAGTTGAGATTGCGGTTGGAAGTGCAATTGAGATAGGGATGGGGATGGTTTATTGTCTTTTTTGCTTTTCGGGTTGACTTTTGGAATTCTGTTGGTTGGATGGAAGCATGACTTTCATTCACAAGTTTTGGATATACTTCGTCATCTGGAATCCAATTAGACTCACTATCAAGATATACAAAAACAAATCACTAACAACCCCCCAGGCCAACCATTCGACATAGTCAAAGTCCGTCTCCAAACCACAACCCAATACCCCAACGCCCTAGTCGCAGCCCAAACAATCTACCGCACAGAGGGCGCCCTAGCATTCTACAAAGGAACCCTCACCCCCCTCATCGGAATCGGCGCCTGCGTCTCCGTCCAATTCGGCGCCTTCCACGAAGCCCGCCGCCGCTTCGAAGCCCGCAACAAGGTCCTCAACCCCTTCAAACCCGATCTCTCCTACGCGCAATACTACGGCGCCGGTGCCTTTGCCGGAATCGCCAACAGCGTCATCTCAGGACCCATCGAACACGTGCGGATCCGACTACAGACCCAACCCCACGGTGCCGCACGACTGTACTCGGGGCCCTTGGATTGCGTCCGGAAGCTGAGCGCCCACGGCGGCGTGCTCATGGGTCTGTACCGCGGCGAGGCCGTCACGATCCTCCGCGAAGCGCAGGCGTATGGGATGTGGTTCATGAGCTTCGAGTACATGATGAATTCGGACGCGGCGCGGAATTCCATCGTCCGGTCCGAGATTCCGACGTGGAAAGTTGCTTTCTATGGTGGTTTGGCGGGCGAGGCGCTCTGGTTGGGGAGTTACCCGTTTGATGTGGTCAAGAGTAAGATGCAGACGGATGAGTTTGGGGAGAAGATGAGGTATAAGACTATGCGGGATTGTTTTGCGAAGACGTATAAGGGGGAGGGATTGGGGGGTTTTTGGAAGGGGATTGGACCGACGCTACTGAGGGCTATGCCGGTTAGTGCGGGGACTTTTGCGGTTGT